TCCTTTCCATGTTGTCTAAAATCAATAAAGACATATTTTTTAAAAATAATATGGCTAGAGATAAAAAGAGACATTTCACAATGATTAAGGATTCAATTCAACAGAAAGAGCAATCATAAACTTGTGCATACCTATTAACATAGCCTCAAGACATACAAAGCAAATATCAATGAAAAGAACCACACCTCATACCTGTCAGAATGAATGTTATCAAAAAGATGAGATAAATGCTGGTGGGGATAAGGGGAAAAGGGAACCCTGGTTAATGCAGGATTGGTGGGAATACAAATACCATACAACCATTATGAAAAATAGTATGGTGGTTCCTCAACTTAAAAATAAAACTACCATGTGATCTGGCAATCATACTTCTGGATATATATCCAAAGGAGATGAAATTACTATCTTGAAGAGATATCTCTACTCCCGTGTGCACTGTAGCATTACTCACAATAGCCAAGACACAGAAACAATCTAAGTGTCTATTGATGGTAAATGAATAAAGAAAATGTGGTGCATATACAAAGTGGAACATTATTAGCCATAAAAAAGAAAATCCTGCCATTTGCAACAACATGGACACATTTTGAGGGCATTATGCTAAGTGAAATAAGTCAGACAATAATATATGGAATCTAAAAACATCCAACTCAGTGGATAAAAAGTTGCAGTACATGTATACAATGAACTATGACTCAGCCATAAAAAATAATAAAATCTTACTATTTGCGACAGATAAGGACGGACCTAAAGAGTATTATGCTAAGTGAAATAAGTCAGAGAAAGACAAATACCATATAATTTCACTTATATGTGGAATCTAAAGAACAAAATAAACAAACAAAATAGAAACAGACTCATAGATACAGAGAACAGACTAATGATTGCCAGAGGGGAGGGGGGTTGGGAGGCTGGGTGAAAAAGGTGAAGGGATTAAGAAATACAAATTGGTAGTTACACAACAGTCACAGTGGTCTAAAGTACAGCAAAGGGGATATAGTCAATAATATTGTAATAACTATGTATAGTGCCACGTGCATACTTGAAATATCGGAGGAATCACTTTATAGAGTATATGATTGTCAAACACTATGCTGTACACCCGAAACTAATACAAAATAATATTGGATGTAACAGTAATGAAAAACTAAAATTTAAAAAATAAATAAATAAAAACAGTGAACTCACAGAAACAGAGTGGTGGTCGGCAGGGGCTAAGCAGCAGGGGAAAAGGGGAGATGCTGGTCAAAGGATACAAACTTCCAGTTATATGATGAATAAAGACCTAAATGTATAGCATGGTGATTATAGTTAACAGTGCTGTACTGTATTTTTCAAAGTTGCTACAAGAGTAGAGCTTTAACATTCTCAGCATAAAAAACAAAATGGTAATTATGTAAGTTGAAGGATGTGTTAACTTTATTGTGGTAAACATTTAACCACGTATGTTTATCAACTTGTCACACTGCACACCTTGAACGACAATGTTATATGACAATTATATCTCAATAAAGCTAGGGGGGAAAATCATCACCCCTTTGGAAGGTTCAAGCCTGGCTGTCAGAATATTTGGGAGCAAAGACAGCTTAAAGTTGGTATCCTAATGCCCCAAAGGGGTAGAAGAGAAAAGGGAGCTGGGAATGAACCCATTCGAGTTAAACCCAGAGTTGCAAAAAACTTCAGCTTTCAGTTCTTTACACAATGCCTGACACACAAATAAGTACTCAATTTGTAGATATCCTCATATAATCCTTTCTGGTTCATGTGGGTAAGTTTGTCCATAATTTCTCAGAACACGAACTATTCAGTAGAGCATTTTCCTTCATTGTGTTGAGAAACTGCAGCCTTCATGAAAATGCAACTGAAAAAAAATCTCTGCTCACGCACCAAGGTAAGCAACACGGAAGCTTGCCATCTATCCAGGGCCTTGGGAGCGGGAAGGGGAAGGGAGAAGAGCCATGAAAATACAAGAAAATACTAAAACATCAACTTTGTGCCAGACTGTTTTGAAGTGTAAAGTTATATTACACACAAGGTGGTGGAATTCCAAGTCATGAAATTAATATAAAACCTAGTCCAAAACCACTGAAATGCCAAGGGCTCCAGCAGAAGTAAACTTGAAACTGTTCAACTGCTCTGTGGGGCTCATAGGTCTTTCCACCTGTGTGTGTGTGTGTGTGTGTGTGTGTACACGTGCACAATTAAAAATTACACAATGAATAATCCAGCAATTTCAGTGATTAATTTCTTCTATGCGTCGTAAATAATAGTGGGAATAATAGAACAATCCAAAACAGACTGTGAAATAAATTACTTTAAAATTATGAAGGACATAAAAGGAGGAAACGGAAACTTGTTGAAAAAAATAGGACAAGTATATAAAAAGAACTCGCAGAATTTGAATTAAAAAATAACCCAACACATTCTCAAATGAAAAATGCAATCACTAAAAATAAACAAGTTAAAAAGTAGATTAAATGCAGAGTAAATACAGATGAAAGGTTTTTAATTAACTGAAAGAGGTCTGGTAAAAAGCACCATGAATGCAACATAGAGACATGAAGAGAAACCGGAAAAGACAAATGGCCAAGGAGTGCTCATACAAGCCTCCTGGAAAAGCATTCATTAGAGAAGGCACGTGGTTATGGCATCATAAAGTGTGCATGTCCCCCACTGACACTCTATGGCAATGCATAGCAATCTGGCAGGGTGAGATGTCAGATGTTCAGGATGGGATCCCAGTGCTTGGGTTGTGAGGCTTTGAAGCTGCATGATTAGGAAAGCACTGGCCCTTTGCCTGTGTGATCATAGGCAGGAATACAATCACAATGTGATGTGTAAAATCTTTCATACAATGTTTCAGAAGCCTGTTTCTGTTCCTAACCTGCTGGCTTGATACTCATGGTTGGGATAACTCCCTGCCTGGCATGAACTAAGCGTTAGGTTCCAAGCCTTCATAGTGCAACAATGAGACGGGAAAATACGGTAACAGAATTGGCCACATCCACATCGGTGTGTACAGCAGGCAAATCAACACTCACCTCTGGCATAATTAGGGGTTGAGTCCAAGCTGTGGGGTTGACCACGACTGTATACTGTACTGGGCCACAGCCAGTTTTGGCAGAGCTTTGCAAGAGGCCCAGTTCTTTTCTGAGCAGACAGCCTTTGGGGGGGGGGGTTCAGTCCTGCACAAGTTAATATCATCCCTCTAACACATAAAAAACCATTACATGAAATTATCCAACAAACTCTGTATAAGAGCTCCAAGTTCTACTTGGCTAAAACCAAGATTACGCAGGAAGAGAATAAAGAGGAGCAGTACCCAAAGAGAAAATGATCGAGACTTTCTAAAACCGATGAAAGACTTGAATCTTCCAAATGAAGACGTATATTGCATCTCAAGCCATAGATAGATGAATGCAAATCTGTATCTTGAGATTTAATTGTAGAATTGCAGAACATCACACAAAAATATAAAATCTTAAGAGCAACCAGAGAGAAAAAACAGATAACCAAAAAAGGAATCACAATGAGGTTGACAGCAGATTTCTATGGTAACTAGCCTCCACAGATGTACTGGGACAAGCTTCCCCTTCCCTGTAAGTACATGCTGCTTCTCATATCAAGAGGTGCACCTTCCCTGGGGCTGGGCTTAAAATGCTCTGACCAATAGAATGCAGCAGAAATGGCATCTGAGACTGTGGGTGCCTTAAGAGGACTGGCAAATCACACTTCTTCTTGTAACTCTTGCTCTGGGACACCATCTTTCAAATCGCAGCCACCATGTTAAGAGGAGCCCAATCCACGCAGAGTAGCCACATAAATGAGAACCTGAAGGGCAACAATTAACAGCCCCAGGTACGATTCCACCCACAGCCAAGTATCAACTGACAGCCATCTTTGATGTTCTATCTGAATTGAGTCCCTGCATAATTGCAGCCCCAAACATCAACATCAAAAGGAGAAACCACCCGCTGATATCAGGCAACTTACAGAATCATGAGAAAAAAATAAAACAGCTCATTTTTTAAGCCACTAAATCTGAATTTTAAATTTGATAATTAAAATGTTTCTCAGGTGCCATTAACAGATTCCAGAAGATAATGGAAAAATATTTCTAAAGTGCTGAGGAAAAATAATGCTCAACCTAGAATTTTATAACAAACTATGTATCTTTGTAGAGTAAGATCAAAATATATTTTTAGACAAAATATATATTTTAGACAAATAGTGAAAGTTCACCACTTAATCTTTCAGAGAGAACTACAGAACATATGGATACAAAAAATAACTAAGCAATAAAATTTATAAATATGTTGTAAATCTAAGTAAGTGCTGACATGCTAAAAAGATATAACAATATTAAATAGTATCTCACCTGGTTAACTAATTTGTCTATTTTGGTGTTTTGAATTCATACTTAATATAATAGAATAGAAAAAATGTCCTAAAGAAGAACCAACCTATATGAAAGCATCTCCTAGACCTTATACCCACTACTGATCAGTTCTTCCTGCCTCCTTCCCTCATATGTGATCCTCCCATGCCTCCACACCTGATAAGGTCCCAGCCCCAAACATTAAGGGATAGAGAAGAGAAACTTATAAGAGGAAGGCAAAAGAGGGGAGCCAAGCAAGAGAATTCTCTCCTGGCACTGACCAGGTACAACATTTGATTTCTTTATTTTTTCATTTGCTTAGTCAAAATCAAAAACTACGTCATGGACATGCAATGTGAATCATAATTTTTAAAATGAAAAGGACCAAGTTACATCTTTTGGTCAGAAGCAAGCAACTCCCATAACCATAGGAACTACAAATTTTCTCCCCCTTCTCATTCTAAACATGAAAATTTTCAATCACCCACCTCAAGTTTTCAGTACAGAGCCAAATTTAAAGACTAGAAGAAAAGTTCAGAGCTTCTACTTTCAATTAACATAGAAGTTAGTTATACCAGAAAGTGATTAATCATTTTAAAGAAGGCTATTAAGCATTACTTACTTTAATAGCAAATTTCTTTGATGCCATGGCTTACTGATTCCAAAGTTATTAGATACCTTTAATAGAAGAAAAAAGAAAGTTAAAAATAAGTATATCAAAATCTCTTTCTATTTGAATATTTCACAAGAGAAAGGTTGGCTGAACAGTCAATATCAATAGGTATTTGCACAATCAATGTTCACTTATAACTAGTCTTAGCAAAAATATTACACCAAATTAGTAATTTTAAAACCATCCATAAAGAAAAGCATAGGCCCGGATATATTCTACCAGATGTTTAAAGAAAAATTAATATTAATCCTTCACAAACTCTTTAATAAAACAGAAGCATAAGAAAAACTTCTTGAGTCCGAGGGGAGCGAGTGAGCTGAGTGGTTGTGTGGTCATATCTTGGAGACCAGCAGCAATTGCAGCATGGCTCACCAACTGACTAAAGAACAAATTGCAGAATTCAAAGAAGCTTTTTCACTATTTGATAAGGATGGTGATAAAACTCTAGCAACAAAGGAACTGGGAGCTGTAATAAGGTCTCTTGGGCAGAATCCCAGAGAGGCAGAGTTATAGGACATGATTAATGAAATGGATGCTGAAGGTAATGGCACAACTGACTTCCTGAAATTTCTGACAATGATGGCGAGAAAAATAAAAGACACAGACAGTGAAGAAGAAATTAGAGAAGTATTCGTGTGTTTGATAAGGATGGCAATGGCTATGTTAGTGCAGCAGAGCTTCGCCATGTGATGACATACCTTGGAGAGAAGTTAACGGATGAAAAGAATGATGAAATGATCAAGGAAGCAGATATTGATGGTGACAGTCAAATAATCAATGAAGAGTTTGTACAAATGACGACAGCAAAGTGACAACATCTGTACAGAATGTGCTAAATTTATTGTATAAAATTGTTTATTTACCTTTTCTTTGTTTGTAACTTATCTATAAAAGGTTCCTCCCTACTGTCAAAAATATTCATGCATAGTAATTAGAACTTCATTTCTCCATGTTGTCTTTGCTTATCTTACTATCATTGTCCTGAAACCTTATTTTAGAAAAACAAAATAAGGCTGGGTAGTGCAGTTGGTTAGAGTGTTGTCCTCATTCGCTACGACTGTAGGTTCAATCCTGGGTCAGAGAACATACAGGAATCAACCAATGAATGAATGCAGGAATAGGTGGAACAACAAATCAATGTTTCTCTCTCTCTCACGCACACACACAAAGTGAATTAAAAAAAAAATAGAAAAACTGATTAAGTAACACTGCATGTGGCATACTCTGGATACACCTAAGTCCTTCTGCACATCTAAACTTGGAGTTGGTCAAATGAGCAAACATCTGGGTTATGCCTTTTTCTTTAGGAACTGTCAGCATGATGTTGAAGTGCAGGGTTGTAACTCTGTATGGACTACGAACAGTCAACAATATGTACTTAAAAGTTGCACTACTGCAAAACAGGTGTATTATCCAGGTACTTCTACACTATTTTTTTATACTGCTGGTCCTGTACCAAAAAATTTTCTTTTATTGTTACTTGCTTTTTAAACTTTGTTTAACCACTTAATGAAAATCTGCTTATGGCACAATTTGCCTCAAATCTAATCCAAGTTGTGTATTTGCTTAAAAAAAACAATTTATGCCCCCACCAAAAGAAGAAAAACTTCTCAAATCATTCTATGAGGTCACTATTATCCTGATACCAATGCCAAACAGAGACATCACAAGAAGATTATATACCAATATCCCTTATGAATAAAGACACAAAAGTCCTCAACAAAATACTACAAATCAAATCTAGTCACATATAAAAAGGATTCTACACCATGACGAAGCTGGATTTATCCCTTGGAATATAAGGTTTGTTTAACATCTGAAAATTAATCAATATCACATACTATAATAATAGATTAAAAGAAAAAAAACACATGATCATCTCAAATTCAAAAAATATAAAACCCATTTTTTATTTAAAAAATCCAATTCACTAGTAATAGAATAAACATCCTCAACCTGATAAAAAAACATCTATAAGAAACCCCACAGCTTACATCATACTTAATGGTGAAAAACTGAACACTTTCCCCCCTACAATGAGTAAAAGACAGAGATGCCTCCTCTTGGCCTCTTCTACTCGACATAGTATTACAGGTTCTAGCCAGGGCAATTAGGCAAGAAAAAGAAAGAAAAGACATCCAGACTGGGAAAGAAGAGTAAAACTCTCATCTATTAATAAATGACATGTTCTTATATGTCAAAGAATAAAAAACAATAAACTACTAAAATAAACAAGTTCAGCAGGATTATAAGATAAAAAGTTAATATTAAAAATGAACTCTATTTCTATACACCACCAATGAGTAATCCTGAAATGAAATTAAGGAAACAATTCTATTTACAATAGCATCAAAAAGAATACTTACAAAAAATATTTAACAAAACAAGAACAAGATTTGTACACCAAAACCATAAAATATTATTGAAAGAAATTAAAGACTTAAGAAAACAGACAGACATCCCAAGTTCATGGATTGGAAGACTAAATATTGTTAAGACAGCAATACTCCTCAAATGGATCTACAGATTCAACAGTATCTCTAACAAAATCCCAACTGACTTCTTTAAAGAAATTAACAAACTTATCCTAAAATTCGCATGAAAATTTAAGGAATCTAGAGTAGCTAAAACAATTTTGAAATAGAGAACAAAGTTCGATGACTCATACTTTCCTATCTGAAAACTCGATACAAACCTACAGCAATCAAAACAGTGTAGTACTAACATAAGGACAGACACACAAATCAACAGAAAAAATAGAAAATCCTGAAAAAGACCCTTATAGTTATGGTCAATTGATTTTTAACAAATGTGCCATGACAGTTTAATGGAGAAATAGTCTTTTCAATTGGATATCCACATGCAAAAGAATAAAGCTGGACCCTCAAGTCACACAAAATTTAACTCAAAATGGATGAAAGACCTAAACGTAAGGGCTAGAACTATGAAACTCTTAGAAGAAAACATAGGTGTAAATTTTTGCAACCCTGCATTAGGCAATAGATATAATACCAAAGGCACAAATGACAAAAGAAAAACTGGTAAGTCACATTTCATCAAAATTTAAAACGTCTGTCCTTCAGAAGACATTACCAAGAAAGTTAAAAGACAACCCACAGAATGGGAGAAAATATCTTTAAATCATGTATCTGATAAGGAACTCATGTCTAGAATATACAAAGAATCCTTACAACTGAAAAATAAAAAGGCAAATAACCCAACTTAAAAATGGACAAAGGATTTGAATAGACATTTCTCCAAAGAAGATATACAAATGGCTAATAAACACATGATGAGCTCAACATCAAAAGAAAAATATATGTCCACACAAAAATTTATACAGGAATGTTCACAGCAGCATTATTTAGAGTAGCCAAAAAAGGAGAAACAAACCCAAATGTCCATCAACTGACGAATGGATAAACTACCTGTGCGCAGTTGGTTGAACATCATCCTGTGCACCGAAAGGTTGTCAGTTTCATTCCCAGTCAGGGCACATACCCGGGTTGTGGGTTCGGTACCCAGTAGGGGCAAGCATGGAAGGAAGTAGATTGATGTTTCTCTCTCACGTTGGTGTTTTTCTCTCTCTCTCCCTTCCTCTCTTTCTAAAATCAATAAAAAAATAAAAATAAAAAAAGAAATTATACTCCCTTTTACTATGTTCAGCCAGGCAACTGACCTCTCCCATCCTTGCAGAAGTCTGGGGAATTATTTTCTAGAGAAGGTAAGAAAGAGGATCTCTGGTCTAGAAAAACACCAGGCACAACTTAAGGTGGGGGGTACCTACAGAAAAAAGAATTTAAGGGAATACTTATAAACTCACTGAACCTTCCTAGCCCACATGCCCGTTGTGATGGTTGATTATGCATGTCAACTTGTCTGGGCTAAGGAATGCCCAAATAACCAGTAAAACTATTTCTGGGTGCGTCTGTAAGGGTATTTTGGGGAGAGATTAACATTTTAATTGGTAAACATGTAAAGCAGATGGCCCTCCCCAATATAAGTGAGCACCATTCAATCCAGTGAGAGCCTATCAGAACAAAAGTGGGAGGAAGGTGAACTGTTGAACTCTGTTTGAGTTGAGACACCCATCTTCATTCTGCCCTCAGACACTGGCACTCCTGGTTCTCGGGCTGTTGGACTTGGGACTGAATTACACACTAGCTTTCCTGGTTCTCCCAGAGAGCTAATCATGATGCTTCTCAGCCTCCATTATCACATTAGCCAATTCCTATAATAAATATGTATACACACACACACACACGCATGTACATCTATATATACGTGTATGTGTGTGTAACTTACTGGTTTTCTTTCTCTAGAGAACCTTGACTAATACACCTCTCTACCCTGTGTAGCTTCTCCAGATGGGAGACTGAAACCTTCCCACTCAGGGAAGTGGACTAACTTAAAAGGCAGGGTCTAAAGCGTATCAGGTGTTCCCCAAAGAAAACCCCCCAAAAATAGCTATGAAGTGAAGCCTACACCTACAAGCTGCACATCTGTGTGAAGAACGAATTTCCATCTTTTTAATGTCTACTATCAAATACAAGTAAACAACCAGGCATTACCTGCCATTTAAGGAAAGACTCTTCATGAAAGAAAAGAAAACAAACAGAAAAAAAACTACTTGGTTGAAACCAAGACTATGCAAGGAAAAGAAAACATTTTTTAAAAAGAAATTATAATTAATATCAGAGAGGTAGGAGGTATTGCATCCATAAAGCAATAACTTTTTAAAAAGGAAATTTTGGAAAACAAATTAAAACTATGATAGCTGATATTAAAAAAACTTAATAGAAGGGCTGAAAGATCAAGTTCAGTAAGTCATTCAGAAACTTCAGCAAAACTAAAAATTAAAGAACCAGTATAGGAGGACCAACACATGAAAATTAGGATGAAAACAGACCCATATTGGGGTACAGTAAAATTTTAGGCACTGGTGACAGAAAGAATCTTTAAAAAATGGGGGGGTAGGGAGAGAGGTGGTGATAAGAGAATATTT